GTTTTTCTCAACTATCAACTTTTTGGAAATTAGTTTTAACTCCCATACTGGTTCTAGTACAAAAAATTCTGTTCGAAATGCAGGAATTAAAGATCTTTCATTTGACGTATTTTGTATTAGTATAACGAGACTAAAGGTCATCTGTCAGTTGTGTATGCTAGGATGTGGGTGAACAAATATCCAACACTCACATCCTTATAGTTCATGGTCATAAGAAAGACATTATCGACACTTGTTTTGAAGTATTAATAATCGATTTTAATAATGATCTGTAACTCTTTAAGAATTATAGCTAAAACTTTCAGGGTACACTATTTCATCAATGAATTTTTACAGAAGATTGTAAATCGAGAAAATATGATTTTATTTCAAATCAGATTTCTTTTTTTTTTTGTTTTCACATGTGGTAGAATTTTGAAAACAGTTCTATTTATTGTAAAAGAAATTATGTCAAAAATCAAATCTTATAAGTGTAGATATTATATTTCATATGTAGGTAAGTTTTTTTTACCTTGTATTTAGATCAAATTCAATTACTTACGAAAAAATCTTCAATAAACAAAGCCTTTTAATGTAATTCAATTTCTTACTGAATAATAAATTATATTCTCTGATTTCAAATTTTTCTTTAGTTAATAATAAAATGATTGCTTTTCTTTTCTATTCAAATATGATTTTATATTAAAGTAAATTATGCAAACAGACATAATCCTATCCTTGAGTATGAGATACGAAAAAAAAAATAATAATAACATTTATTTTCTGTATTGATTGTAAAAAAAGTGCAGTTGTAAGTTAATTCTTACTTGAAAATGTCAATTTATGATAATAAATAAAGACAATTTTACTACTGATAAAGACTGACTTATTGTCAAAATGATTGCAACGTTACGTATTTTACTCATATCTCTATAAAAAGAAATCATAAAAGTTTTTGTTTTTCTTAAAAGATGTACCATTGAATTCTGAAGACTTGCACGATGATATGATTTCTCGTTACAACGAATTTAGAGTTGTAAGTCAATCGACTGAGTCGCCACCGCTTGCATCACTAAATGTAAAAACCAGAGCTTTTATTACTTCCTATATATTGGAACATTACGCTATCAAGCAAATATTTACTTAAACACTTATAGAATATCATCTGTAAAGCTCTGTAGGATTTTTCAGTTCCATTTTTTTTGTGGAGAGAGAATTCAACAGCGCAGTTTTTACGAAGAAATTCCGACGTTTTTCTCCTCACATTGACATCCATTCTTAACCTTTACTGGCACTCTGTGTTTTGTTTGCTCCATTGCTATTCGATTGTTATTATTCTAAGCATTGAATTAACTGGTCGATAAGTCTGTTGTACATATTCATTATGTCTACAGCAGTAAGTCTCAACACACAAACCCTGATATTGATTATTTCTCAAGGTTGTAACTTGATCAGTTCATATCTATCTATCGTTCTTGACATTTGCCATGTAAATTTTTATTAGCGCAAAAATTAAAACGTGCACTCTGTAAAATATTCCAGCCATTCAAATTTTGCGAAAGACTTTGAAATGTTCTAGAATTCTCTAGTACAGTCTAAGTCTTATTGTTAATGTCGTTTCAGTGTCATTTTTCGTCGTTGAGGAACTCTAGAAAAAGAGTCCATCGTCTGTTATCCTCGGTTGTTATAGAAACCTGTTCAGTAACCTATGACCTCGGTTGTTAAGGTCTTAAGATGGGTAGAGAGGAAAGCCAGAAATGTTCGACTTAAAACTTTCATCATTTTCTTCGGGAATTGAGGTGAGTTCAACAAAATTCTAGAATATTTTAAAGCTTTTCGTGAAATAGGAGCTATGCTAGTAAGCTTTTTCACTCATCTTGATCATCACAATAGAGTGGTGCAAGATAAATCTAGGGCTAGAGAAATATACCGCACCTAGGTGGTTCAAGAAACGACATTTTGTTATTTAAACCAATATATATTGTCCACGACTACCTTTTATTACATTTAAAGCAAAACATAGCAGATAATTGACTTTCATAAATGTCATCAACACGCTATTATATGTGTGTGATAAATTAGATGCATATAATAACGCTTCGATGGCGAATCAGTAAGAAAATTTTATTTAAATAAGGTACAGGGTACGGAAAAAAACTTATTCTGCATATTTTTGTGTCACAATTCATCGAAAATAGTTTTAAGAATTAGTATAAACTATTAAAAACTGATAGTATGATATTGAAACGCATTAAAATATCGAACAAATTATGTCTATCTCTTTATATTTTCTATTATCTCAAAACGTTTAAATAATTTTACGAAAAATTTTCCAAATAATAGAATCAAATCATACACGATCATAACTTCATAAGAAAAATTCTTTTTCTTTTTTAATTGATTTTTAGTTTAAAACTAGTAAATCTTCATTCAAAATCTTTCAGAAAATATGAAATTTCATATTTTAATTCAGTTTTGATAATTTCTATGAATACAAAACAAAAACACACAATTTAGAAAAAAGACGTCAAGATTTATGTGAATAGTTTTTTTTAGTTTGTATTTATATTGGTTGGATTTGTTTCGAATAAAGTCGTGATAGAATAGAAATAGAATGTCGTGGTTGTGAATGAGATGATGGTGATAGGATACGTGAAAAATTTTCCGTAGGAAGAGTATTTATTGAAGGCGAGACTACTGAAGTTATTCTTGTTATTGTTGGAGCAGATAAAATTGATCTTGAATCAGAATTCGAAAAATTACGTAATGAAACATATTCACGTTCTAAATATGAGTTTGTTGGTGATGGATTATCATCAGTATTCAAATATTGTTGTCGATATCGACGTGTATCTTCAGATATTATCGATTTTCCTTCATTTATTTTTTGAGAATCATCATCAAGAAGTGATCGTTGACAGTATTTACAATGCATGTCTTCTTGATGACCATAACGATATTGAAGAATCGATCTAAAATTAAACTTTCATTTCTATATCTGTGAGAAAGATATATATTTATATAGATATAAAATCTACCGTACAGGACCAGGACACCATCGAAACAGATAACATAATGCTAGAAAGCTTACTAAGAATAATAATGGTAATCCAAGTCCAAGACCTAATCCGATCAGTAATGGAATACAATTATATGGTGCTTCAGTTGTTACTAAAGAAACATAATTAAATGATCAATTGAATAAAATCAAATAGAATACTGATAGATGTTGTTGATGTCGATGTTGTTGTTGTAATTGATGTGGTTGTTGTTGATGTTGTTGAAGTTGATGATGTTGAAGTTGATGTTGTTGTTGTTGTTGAAGTTGTTGATGTTGATGATGATGTTGTTGATGTTGTTGTTGATGTTGTTGTTGTTGTTGTTGTTTTAGGACCAACAAATAAATTGAAACAATATTGATCTGATGAATAATAATTACTATCAATAGCTACGGCACAAAATGTATATGTTTGACCTAATTGACTCATTGCTGGTGTCCATGTAAGACTAATTGCATAAGATGTTGATGTTACAGTATATGGAAGATTTGATTTTAACATTCCAGGTGGACTTGATGTTATAAAATTTGTAATACTTGTATCTGTATCATTTTGACAACCACTTTGTGCAATAACCATTGCTGTATAAAGAACAGTTACTTGAACAGTAACTGTATCACCCGGTAATGGTAAATCTGGTGGAATACTTGTTATAACAGGTATACTTGTACAAGTCGATGTTGGATTTGATGCATCATATGCAAGAAGAAGAAATTGTAATGGAACAGAACTAAGAGGTGTTGTTATATTTTCAATAAAATCTTCTAATTGAATTGCTACTGCATAGTAACCAATTGAAGGTAGAGTAACCATAAGTGTACATGTATTATTGCCTGATATTAATTGTGTCGATGCAGGTAATGCTAATGATTTACAAACATCATTACATTCATCAACAGTAACTCCACCTAATATATTTGAAGCTTTTGCAAAACGACATTCAATATTATCTCCATCAATATCATCCATTGGTATATCAATTGAAGTTGATATATTAGAACTAGCAGGTACATAAACTATCGGTGATATACTTGATGTTGGTGAACTATTAATTAATTCATTATCTAGACGTGGTTTCATATTTATGTATGTCATCATACTCCAACCACCACTGCTTAATTGTAATGAAAGCCATGCACCACTGACAACATAGCCAACCACAATACCTGTTGATATAACAGTAAGATTTACAGTTGTTGAACTATAACCAAAAGACATTCCTAAAGCTGTATTATAATCAGTACATGGAACATAAGTAGAAATATTAGCTGTATATTGTGCACTTGTACATGTAGCTAATGATGATTGACATTTAAGAACAGATATAGTATTTTCTCCAATCAATCCAAATGATGAAATTGTTGAACTTGTACATGCACTTGCTGCAGCACTTTTCGACCATGCATATCGTTGATCAATAATAATTGTTTTCTTTGTATTTAGTACAGATTTTTCATCAGTTGCTCGTCGCCAACTGATCATTCCACCACGAAAATGAGTATTATCAACAGGATTAATAAAGATAAATATAATTAGAAATACTGATATGATCATCATCTTTATTTTGATCATAAATATATAGAAATTGAAATTTTTGTCATTATATATATGATTTGTTTTTATTGTTTAGGTTACAAACGAAAAAAAAGAATGTATATTCATTTTCATCAAATACAATATTCTACAATAATAATAATAAAAAAGCCCTCAATAAACAATGTTTTTTTTAAAATGTAACCCAATGTCTTACTGTATAATAAATTATATTCTCTAATTTCAAAGTTTTCTTTAGTAAATAATAAATAATTGAATTTTCTTCTATTCAAATTTGATTTTCTATTAAAGTAAATTAAGCAAACGAATATAATCACGTCATTGAGTATGAAATACGAAGAAAAAAAAAACATTTATTTTCCTGTATTGTTTGTAAAAAGTGCAATTCTTACTCGAAAATTTTAATTAATGATAACGAATAAAGATAATTTTGCTACTGATAAAAACTGAATTAATGTCAAACTCATATTGTAATAGATCTACTGGAAATGATTGCAACGTTGCGTATTTTCTCATATCTCTACACAAAGAAATCATCAAAAGTTTGAACTTTGTTTCTTGAAAGATGCGCCATTGAATTCTGAACACTTGCGTGATAGTGTGAGGATGTATGGTGTAAATGGACATGTAGAAGAAGCTTCCATATTCACACCCACACCCTCGAAAAATTCTTCACTTTATTCTAATAACATGACACTACATACCTTTTGAACAAAATAGCTTATAGAACAACTTTTAGTCGGTAATGGTGATTGTCGAAAAAATGTGAATCAAAAATGTGGTAGGTATGAATTGGATGGTAGTCATGTGTCACTTTCGTTGTGATGAGTGGTTTTAAATATTACTATACATGTTGAGATACACTTGTTAATAAAATAGCATATGAGGATAGCAAAAAATCATAGTTTTTTCATATTGTCAAACGAGTTCCATATTTTTGTTGAAATTGATGAATATAAGTTAGATTTCAATCACATAGAAATAAAATTTAATTATGTATTACTCGATGTTTTTCGGTGTTTTCGAGAAGAAGGTCATCAGAAGGGATGTCGTAGTGTATGAGACCAAATGATTTCTATCGTCTTTATGACCTTTGTCGATACAAAGTGGATGCAAATAATATGTTTTAAAGTTCAAACACATGATATTGTGTATTTCAGCTCTTTAATTCTTTGTTCTAGCCATTATTTATCATTTTTAGATGTTTTTCTCATATTTTAAGGCATCTTCACTATAAATACATTACAAAATTTATTTTAATTGCATCCAGATAACTTAATTGAATATTTTTGTGGATGTTAATGAATACAAGTCGGACATGATTGATGTTTAATGTGATGATATTGAGTGTTTGAGCAAAGTGTTTTTGTTTTTGGGACTGTTTTGGCGTTTCCAGAAAAAAAGCTTATTAAGAAAAGTGATTTCAAGCTAGCACATATTGGGATCAAAAGATAGATCATGAGCGTTTCTGGGTGATGCTGAGGATGGCCTGAGTGCTAGTCTATGATCTAAGCGTGATATTGAGTATTACTGTGGGTGGCAAGGATCGATTTGATGATCTTTGCTGAGGGTGTATTTTTTTCTATAAATCATACACAGTAGGCGTTAATGAGATTGATTTTGGTCGCTCTTGAAAACTTGAGTGTTTGAAGTGTTAGCATTAATTACTAATACCTGAAAAGTTCAGAAGTTTAATCATAAGTTAACTCTTCATTCTTCCGGTTATAGTAATGGCCTGGTAAGAACAACATTTATTTTTTCTTTTATATCGAAGCTTTTAAGATGGCTTCGTAGCCTCAGCAGAGATATTCTGTTCCTGAGACGTCAAAGGAGTTTAGTACTCACAAAGTCACTATGTTCGTATGATTCCTGTCGTCCATTGTGTACATCACACCTACGAAGAGTCCCACACTGGCCCGACATAGTTCGCTCCGCTTCTATCCTACCAAGTTCGCTGGAGATCATCCTACCCGCGTGCGCAATAAAGAGCCGAGGAAAGCCAGATAGTACGATTAGCAATAAACATGAATTTATTGAGCAAACAAAAAGAAAACAAATTCACATCTTTCTTACATGGTTAATGTTATCTGTCATCATCTTAATCTGAGGATGTGTTGGTGGAAGTGATTTTTGTGCTATAGCAAGTGCCTTTTCCAGAAAAGAAAGTGCTTTTGAGTAGTTACCCATGTTGGCATACACCAAACCGATGTTGTTGTAGGATTGAGCAAAATCGGGATGATTCGGAGGCAGAGCTTTATCTCTTATTCTAAGTGCTTTTTCGTAAAATTCAAGTGCTTTCGAGTAGTTACCCATGTTGTCATACACCAAACCGATGTTGTTGTAGGAAGTAGCCAATAAGGGATGATTCGGAGGCAGAGCTTTTTCGAAGATTTTAAGTGCTTTTTCGTAAAATTC